TAAAAAAAATTTGTAAATTTTAATAATAAATAATATTCAGCATGTTATTTTAGTTATAATAGTAGTTAAATCATCAATATTCACCGAGATAGTCTAATTTAAATTTATATATAATATTTCAAATATTTCAATATAAAATAAATCAAACTATTGTAAAAAAAAAATGAATAGGTGTGAAATTTATCTAAAAAAAATTTGTAAATTTTGATAATAAATATCCTTTTTTATGATACCAATGTGTTGTGCCATAATTTTTTTATGACAATTATTCACATTAATATAATGGTTATTATTATGAAATTGGCTAAATAAAGATTAATGAAACTCCAAGTCCTATGCAAGAACAAAAGACGAAGCAGCTGATCCTTAATTTGAATGTAAAAATGACTGTGTTATAGATGCCACAGTTTACATTTAAAGTTTCATCTGTTTTTTGGTATGACTAAGGTAGGTATAGTTTCATTACAGAGGTAAATAATGATATTTTGGTATGCTTCAAGTGATTGGAGAAAATTGGCTTCGTAAACCATTATATGAAATTTTTTTTTTTTGTAAAAAGAAAAAAAACTCTTTTTTTATTTTTTTTCTTGTTATATTTATAATCACAAAGTATATTATTAGTATATACGTAATTAATAAAAAGCATAATAATGATAAAATTATGAGCTCTTTGAGCTATTATTTAGATTATACAGTCACTTTATTAATCATATTGAAAATGTGCAACAATAGTATAGTTTAAATTTTGTAATTCATCAGACTTTTCATCATCTTTTTATTTAAAAAAAAAAGTTAGATATGAGCCATCTACAAAATAACAATAATAGCTTATTTTAGAGGAACAGGTTTTATCTATTCTAACTAAACAGTTCTTTACACCTTTATTTGGAGTTATAGTTCAATACTAACTAAAATGGCATCTATTGTATAATATAAAAAGATTCTTGCATGCATAATATCAAAGTACATATGTACGTATGTACATATCAGATATTAGATTGTAGAACCCATTTATCTAATACTAATCCCCACCCAGAAGTATCGATCATAAGAAATTTGCAAAAGAGATCAAATTAAAAAAAAACTTAAAAAAAAAGAGCAAAAGCTAAATTCACTCAATTTAAAAAAAAAGAGCAATAGCTAAATTTGCTTAATTCAAAAAAAGAATTTTAATGCAAAAAAAAAAGTTAAAAAAGAGTATCACTTAATGCAAAAAAAAAAGAGCTATTACTCAATACAAAAAAAAAAAAAGCTATTGCTCAATGCAAAAAAAAAAAGAGCTGTTGCTCAATGCAAAAAAAAAAAGAGCATTCTCAATACAAAAAAAGAGCATCTATAATGTAAAAAAAAAAAAAAAAAGCAAAAGCTCAATTTAAAGGAAAAAAAAAAATTTAAAGGGTTGGACTGAATATGATATTTAAAAAAAAAGATACAGTATCGATTAACTGTCCCTGGTTGATCACTCCTCATGTTGGGAATTTTTTGCAAAACTCTGTGAGCACCTCAATTTAGACAAACCTCACAATGATCTCTTAGAATTAATTATAACACAGAGCTTAATTGTCATAAATATTGTGTGCTGTAATATTGTAATGCTATAATGTTGTAATATTATAATACTATAGACTTTTGCATTGTAATAATGCAATACTGTAATACTAATATTATAGCATTATACCAGTATGATCATATGAATGTATAATATGAAATGTGAGAGGGATAGTTCTATTTAACTTTTTTAATGTGGCCTATGCTGATTTTGAAACTTTCTTTTTTTGGTAAGAATAATGATTTTCATTTATTCATTTTTAGAAAGTGTTAAGTAATAATCCACGAGTAGCCAGCACTAGCATTATAGTAAAAGTTAGGGCAAATTTAATATAAATTTTATAATAGAGCTAAATCTGTTTCTGCTACAAAGAAAAGTTTTTTTTTACTAAGTTTACTTTTATTCAAGCTCTAACAAAAGTTGTAGAGCTCATTTTTGTGATTCTAATGGTAGTAAGATCATTAAAATTGGCCTTGTCTTTCTTGATATATCTTAACTTTTCTCTTAAAGATCATATAAAATTTCTTTACAAAATTATAAAGAAATTTTATATGATCTTTAAAAGAAATCTTTAGATATCTTAATAACTACAAGGCCAATTTTAACGATTTTGCTACCATTATAATCACAAAAATAAGCTCTACAACTCTTGTTAGAGCTTGAAGAAAGATTAACTTAGTAAAAAAAAATAAGTTTTCTTTGTAGCAAAAACAGATTTAGCTTCATTATAAAATTCATATTAAATTTGCCTTAAATTTTACTATAATGCTAGTGCCAGCTACTCGTGGATTATCACTTAATACTTTTACATACTACATAACTGTGCTATTATGTAATTGTTAATGAATTGCTACTAGGGATGCAGTTATATCAGTATAATAGAAAGGGTTGTATAATACCAGGATATTATACTATATTATACTGTATAGTAAGGTATAATATAGATTTACCAGTATATATGGTTTTGTTTAATAATAAGTGATTAATCTGTTTTTCCATATTAGCTTTTTCTAAACCAGTTCAAGCCATGTTGCCATCTACTTTTACTTTTAATTTGTTTAATATACTTTTTATTTCATCTAATGTATTTTTAATACTTGCTACATATTTATTTGAATTGTGTGTAATATATAGACAAAAAGAGGAGGTTCAAAAAAAGTTCTGATAACTTAAATAAATAGTTAATATATATATCAACTGTCAAACTTCACTCCAAAGGTTCTATAACAAACTGATTTAAAACTTTCTCTAAAGGCAAATTAAAATATTGACGGGCTTATACTTCTCATCTTGCTTATAGTAAATCCACTAAATTAAATATTTAAAGGGATTTAAAAAGATATTTAAAAAAGAATATATATTATATAATACTATATTTTGTAACATATAATAATAAGAAGTATATATACTGTATAAGTTTGCTAATAGTAAAAAATATTTTATTGTAAAATAAAAAAATTTAATATATAGTTAACAATGTTTATATATAACTATATATTTATATATTTATGTATAAAAAAATTTCGCTATATTTATAAAAAATTATATATAAGAAAAGTTAAATTTTTTAAATAATCATATCATTATTTAAATTCAAATCTGTTAATACATTTTCAATATTTTTATAATTTTCAATTTCATTATTTAAAACTAAATCGATATTTTTATTTTCATTACTTTTAATAATTTGTTCTATTGTTGTATAATACATTCTCAAGTTACTATAAATATAGACTAATTTTTTTACCTGGTTATTTTTTAAATGATTTCTAAGTTTTGAATAAATAAATCCAAAATTAGAATAATTACATTCTGCAAAAGCAGATGAAGTTGGAATTGATAAAATACGAATTGCAAGTTTTTGAAGTTCTGATAAAGACCACCAAGTTGAAAGATCAATATAAGCAGCTGAATTCCAAATAAGCTTATTATTATATAGCGTTTGTTTGTTATAAAATTTTGATAATTCTGCAAATATTCTTGTTGCATCTTTACTAGGATACTTTAAAGAAATAAAGTTTGCAAATGTTGATAAACAAGCAGATTTGTTATTATTTTTTTGCTTTCTTCAATATAGTTTGGATCTAATAAAAATACAATAGTCATAATTAGATAATAAATATAATTCCAGCAATATTAGATCTTTTGTTGAATCTTTATAGCATAATTACATTCAACCTTTTGAACTTCAGTTAAAATTGTATTAAATTGAGAATATGTTGTTGAAATTGTTAAACTGTTGGCTTCAAATGCTTTTAAAGTAGCAACAATTGGTTGAAGAATATTAATAACAATCTTAAGATCATTTCAAAATTCATCAGAATGTAATTGTATTTTAATTTCTATTTCTAAAGATGCTATACTTTGGTCAAAAAGTATTTGCTGAATTGCTGTTTGTGATTCTAAAAGAGATTTAATACAATCAAGATATGTACTCCATTGTATAATTATAAGAAAAACAAGAGCAATTTCTTTGCCATAGTTTTCTTTTTGAATATATTGTAATTTTGTCACAAAAATATGATGATCTCTAAATATTTAACAACAGTTTTAGCATTTTCTATAACTAATTTAATTTCATTAATTTTTAAAATATTATTAATTAATAGATTAATAATATGTGAAGAGTATCCAAGATAGATAATATAAGGATATTTTTCTTCAATTATTTTCCAAGCAGCTTTTATATTAGCTGCTATATCTGTAATAACAGATGAAAATTTTTGAATTCTAATTTCTTTCATTTTTGCAGTAATTTGTGTTGCAATCCACTCTGCTATACAGTGAGCTTCTCCAGAAAAAATTGTATTATAAAAAACTGGATTTGGCAAACAAATAATAAAATTTTGAACTAAGGCTATGCAAACTTAATAATTCAGTTTTTATAATATAAATTTTAAAAGTGATATGGCAACCTGGCTTTTAATTTTATTTTCAAAAAATTTTATATATAAAAAACATAAAATTTTTTATATAATTTTTAAAAAAACTCGCCTGGATAGTAAATATACTAAAAATTTTTTTCTAAGGTTTAGTAAATTTTAACCTGGCCAGGCTATGAAAACCGATTTATTAAATTTGTATGGCCTAATTTACAATTGATATTTAACTATTCATCAGAAACTATAGTAATATTTTGAGTAGTATCTATAGTATATTTAACATTATTTTTAATATCTACATTGATAATCTATCTCATCTAGGAATTTGAAATGAAGGTTGAAGAGTATAAAAGAATTTTTTCCAAAAAGGATTTTTGAATGTATTAAGAGGAATACCTGAAGTATAAACTGCTTTAGCAAATTTGTAGTCTAAACTTAATATTCTATCCGATCAATATAATTTTCTATAGTGCTTTGTTTATTAGATTCAAATATATTTGTTAAATTTGAATCTTTTAATTTGGATTTTTTAATAGTTTTTGCTGATTCAGAAGTATTTAAACAATCATTGGTATGCTTTTGCATACGAGTTGCAAGTCCATGTCTATATTTTTTAGGGCAATATTTACATTTTACTAGAGGATGTGCCTTGGTTGTATTTTTTTGAATACTTGTTGATGAAAAAGCTAAATCTTCTGTATCATCCTTATTACTTAATATCTCGCTACAACTAACAAGCATACTTAATTCTTTAGATATTAATAGATTCAATATTGTCTAATAATCCCAAATTTTACTTTTTTGTAGCATAATAATAATAATAATAAATTTATGATTTAACATAAGTGAAGCAAGTTGATATTTATAACAGTTATATTATTAATTGTTATTATATTGTGTATGTTTCATATTTTAATTCAACTTTTATTTATATATTTTTTAATTATTTATAAGCTAACTAAAGATACTAATAGTTTTAATTTATTAATTTATTTAAAGCTACGATTCTTATTATTATAGTTCTAAAATAGATTATTAAAACTAATTATTTAATTGTTTATTTTTTTGTTTTGTTAGATTATCTTAAAACCAATAATTTGTTACAAGTATTATATCAGTTGTAATTTGCATAGCCTTCATTTTTTTTAAGACATAATCCCAAAACCAATACTAATCATATATTTAAAGTTCACTATTCTTCAATTGTATACCTATAAATATAATTTGTAAGTGTATAATATAATATTAATAAAAAAAAGTTTTATAAATTTAGAAAATCTGATGAATTCAAAAACTATATAATGATAAGCTTATATGACTTATTTCAAATTTGATATAGAGATCATAATACTATCTAACCAGGTTGCAGAAATCTATTACTATTCTTCTGAATATTACCTACTAATAGGAATCTATTTAATTGTTACTTTATAGTTTGTAGCTTTAACAAAATCACTAATTTAAAGATATAGTATTAATTGGGGCAACCAATTTTTATCTTAAATTGTTAAACCCTTCTTGAAAAAAAATAAAGAAAAACACATTAGTTTAGTAAATTATGAATATAGTACAAATTAGACCTCTCTAAGTACATCTTTTATAAGTACACACTCTTTTTAGATATGCGCTCAAGTGCTAGCCCAAATGTGTATACTTGATCTCTATAAATGCACTTTTTCTTATTATTCTCTAAATGTGCATTGTTAAAAGCATGATCTTGGATGTGTATTTAGATAGTGCAAAATTGCTTGAAGTTAGAACATAGATCAAATTAGCTGTTAAATATATATATATAACTAATCTGATTCATGATTGTTTGATATTTGACTATATTTACTATATTTGAATATCAAGTTTTTGTTGGATTGTATTAAGCATTAGTGCCAGGGCCTGGTAAAACTCATATTAGATTAATTTTTGGAATGAAACTAAGATTTTTTTGCAAATATGTAACAAAAATCTATACTTTTCAAATTGTGATTTTTAATTAATAAATTTGTATTATATATATTTAATTATTTTGTTCAGGTGACTCCCGATTTACCAATTAATATATTATTATCATTATTTGATAAATAGAGGCTATTTAAGGTCCAAAGGACTTATCATGGATCAGTCTGACAATGGGTATTTTCAGAGAAATGTTTGTTTTTATCAGATCAACCAATCAAACCCCTTAATTTGCGAACACACATATATCTAGGTTACTATGACTCTCCCATAATATTCTTCAGACAATTAATTAAAGTATTAGATAGTATTAAATAGTTTAATAGATATTTAGATATTTGCAAAAATATTTTTATTATTTAATATAACTTAAATACTAATATTTAATTAGCTATATATATTTAGAAAGATTAGTTTTATATAGAAATCTTTTAAATAAACATGTATTTGCAAATATAGAATATACATTTAGCACTAATAATTTTTTTTAACAAAAACAAAATATATATTTAGAAAGATATTATATTTATAAAAGTTGTATTTATAGAAATCTGACTACAGTATATAGAGAAATTTCTTTAAATATACCTCTTTCAAAACTATAGTAAAAAATTTTAAAAATATGTATTTAAAGAGGTTATGCATTTATAAAGAGCAAAATATATGATGCTATTATAAGCTAGAACCAGACTATACTATATATTTAAAAAGATTTTATATAAATTATATATTTATAAAAAATGCATTTGAAGAGATTTCTCTATATATCAATTTATATAATTTGAATTTTTTATTAAAAATTACAAAGATTTTTCACCATTATCGCTATAAAAATTACAGTCACTTTTTTGCAAACTACTATGATTTAAAAATTTGGTGCTTTAGCCTTACACCAGTTTCTAGTTTTTAGTTTTATTTATTATTACTAACTTTAACTTTGACAATTTATATTTAAGCTTTTAAAGCCAATCAAATTTAGTATTTTGTAACTATAAATTTTTTTATAATTATATTTAGAAAGACTTTTGTCTAATTTATTTGTATTTAATACAATTTTGAATTCTATTAGTACTATTAATAGAGCTATTTATATAGCTATCAACCTGCTTTTGTTAATAAAGACTATTCTTTATACTTTAAATTTTTTAACTAAACTACTTATATTTAACTTTTTTATTTAAAAAAAGAAGGCTATGCTAAATTTATAACGAAGCCTCAAAATGCCAAAACTGTGGGCTATAATTTTTTTTATTTTTTTTTATACAAATAAAAAATTTAAAGTATTTACTTATACAATATATTTGATAACCAAGTTGTTATCAATACGTGACCAAAATTTTCTCAGGAGGGTTTGTCCGCACACGTTATTTCTATTTAATTTACAGTATAACGTACATTTTTTAAAATTGGTCATATCCCAAAAAGTTTACGACTTTTGTGTTCTAACTTGTTAATTCTTCTATAACTAATATCTAATGTAGTTAAGTATTGCATTTGATCAGATCATAATCGAATCATTTGTCGTTTATCACATGTACGTACATACGTACGTATACGTACGTCGTATGATGCTGTTTTTCGTGATTAGAGTACTTTATAATCATTAGCCTGATAAATATTAATTTAATAACCTTTTTTTCGAATAACTATTTAAAGGTCAAAACTTGAAAGCTTTTATATCAATAAAATATTACTTTACACGAATTTAAATTCTAAATTTCAAGAAATTTCACGTTTTACGATTATAATATAAAAAATGGGTGCTTGGGTGATCGCAGCAGCAACAGTCTTTTCTCTTGGCATATTTATTAATATTGTTGTAGAGAATTTCACATCGCCCGTCCGAAAACCTCAGTATAATGAAAACGAAGAAGGAATGGGTGACTTTGACGATCAGAATGACGATAATTCCATACAAGATGAAGATGATTATTGGACGGATTTGGCCGAATACATGAGTATTATTGAAGAAAGTGATAAGAACAAGAAAATTATTTTGCATGAAGATTAACAGCAAACATAGTGGTTTGAAAAATACTATCAATCTTAAGACATTTTTTTCACAATTTATTCTTGAAATTTGTATTCGCTAAAGAGCTGTGTTAAGCAATCTTAAGAGTAAAGCTATTATTTGCTTTCATTTCCAAGATCATTATTATTATTTTTTATTAACGTTTAGAATGCGTAGAAGCAGGTTCAATTAAAAATGGAATGTTGAGTGCTATTAAATAAAATACTAGTTATGATTGTTCACAGGAAACAGTATGATCCATTCATTGACACCATTGTAAACAATAAGCGATTACGTAATGGCAATGAAATTATGTCCAAAACGTCGTGCATCGTGTAAAATCACTTTCATGGTGCGATAGAATATAAATCTAAAGCTAACGCTAAAAAATAATTTTAAAGTGTAGTGGTGTGAATTTTTTTTGCAAAAAATTTCAAAAGTTGTTGAAAAATTAACAGGCGCCATCATAAGAGCAAACATATGATCGAAGAATGTTCTCTGCACATAAACTTGATGACATAGTTACTAAGTAACCATTCTCCCTTGTTTCTTCATGCTAATCAGGCTATGTGAACAGTCTATGCTATTATAACTAGCCGCACACCATATGTAGATCAAAAATTGATTGCCAAATTAAATTAAATAAATTCTTTCTTTGGTTAGTTCATTTTTCATTCTCTTTACCTTCACATGTAATTTATAATTTCTGCTTACGTAGTTACTTGAGAATCGAATCATCATAGGTTCTTGCATCATTTTATCAAATCAATACGAATTTAGAAAT